CATCTTGCTAGTCCGCCAGTCTTCTTCATCTTCTTGCTGCAACACATCACCACTGTATGTTTTTTTTTATTTTTCTTACCCAAAACTAGCCGTCAAAACTAAGCTTGAGATGCTTGTAGGTTTTCGAGAAAGTAAAGATTAGGTTTAGTAATATGGATATTTTTTTTAAAAGAAAGAGCCCAAGAAAGATTTGGCCATGTAATTTGTTTCAGTGGGCTTGGTACATTAAGCCCATTAATCTTGGGCTGTTAGTTTTTTTTTAGTAATTATTTGTTGTGGTAAAATATCATAAAATTAAAAAGACAAGTAATTATAATAAAACTAAATAAATAATGTAGAAAATTAAAATAAAGAAATACATGACATGGATGTAAATAATGGGTGTTGTTTAGATTTTTAAATTTTATACTCATATTTAGTAAATAAACAAATGCCAAAATAATGTGAAATACACTCTTTATAGTAAAGTTATTATTTAATACTATGACGTACCGGAACGTATCGAAATATTAGTATTTTTAAAGTAACGTATCGACGTCCCGTATCGAAAACATATCGAAAACGTTGTGTTGGAATCGGTGCTTCATACTATCAGGTAAGGAGGTTCATATCAATGATGTAATCCTCATAGATGAATCGAGGTCTTGTCTTTTGCTGGTTGGTTGGCTTAATTTTCCTTATGTCATTAGTTGCTTATGCATGTGATCTTCTATAATTGGTACATATATACGATCTTTTTTTTTTTAGTGTTCTCAATCACTTCATCCTTTGGACTAGTCCGATTCGAGCATTGTCGGACCCAAAGTGGAGGTGGCTCTACCACGACCATTTTTTCCATTCCCAAGACTCGAACTTGAGACCTATGGTTAAGGGACACAAGCTCCTTACCACTTGTGTCAATGGTGTTTGATACATACGATCTTTTATAATTAGTATACTGCTGGAACTCGATTTTAATCACTGTAAATTGATGAAAACATAAATGAAGGCAAGCTCCTTACAAGACTAAATGCACAAAAATAAACCCAAAAGACCTCAACTCCCCCTTAGAACCAACTATCCTAGGCTCCAAGAGATCCCCCAAATTCCCCATTCTTCACTTATACATGTCTACCTCAGTACACACACACACTCCTTTTATTCCCTCCTCTAAGAATATTCTAGAAAATTCCCCTAACTAACTAACTCACTTTTCATGCTCATCAATACTTCCTCTCCAAAACTCACTTTGTCCTCAAGGTGAAGGAAGAGGACAAATAATGTGAGAGATCTTCCTCCCGGGTCCCATTGTTTGAAGCCTGTTGACCCCATTGGCAACTTCAACATTTTCATTTCATTCACCTATAGTATATTCTCGATTCACTCTACCTAGAATAATAGCACTTCCAGATTGAACTGGTACATGCAAAAAAAAGTAGCAACAAACATATTGGGTTCCATTTCCTGGGCCTAAATTAAAAAGCTCACTTCTACCTTCAACGTTATTAGAGTTGAGCTTGACCTCTAATTGATTGTTGGCCTTATTCATAGGTGGTGGACAGTTATAATGACTAGCTCCTTGGATTGACTCATACCTTACATGCCTTATTGGATCTCCGACCCGATTGCACATATTTTCACTTTCTTCAACTTGCTGCTTTAGTGTCACCATGTTGCTCAGGTCTGTCAACCCCTGTAGACGGACTTCCACCTTTTGTGCTAAAGTCATCATCTGATTCATGGCGACACAACCCAGATTGATCTGGCCATGGAGAAGAAACTTCACCTTTTCTCCACCTTCTTTCTCTTCTTCTTTGTCTTCTTTTTTATCATTTTTCTTTTCTTTGCTTTCATTTTTTGAGTTTCGATCTATTTCGGCTTTCCCTAAATCTCGATCTGTTTTGATCTTCTTCATCTTTTTCTTTTTCTTCTTCTGCATCTTCACTATATTCATCTATTGTGTCAACATCTTTGTATGCTTCCTCTTCTTCTTTGTCTATTTTGTTTCGTTCATCTCCTTTTGCATCCATGTTTCCTTCTGCCTTTACAACCTCTTCAATTTTTTTCCTCATCGGCAATTGTTGTTTTTCCTTCTTTCCTTTGTTTTCTTCTTCGATTTTTTAACGCTTTGTTACTTCATCTTCTCGTATTCAAGTCTCTATGGTTCCATCCTCTCTAATGCTTCAGCAAACACCTTCACAATTTTTTTTCAAATTTTCCCTAAACTCTAAATCACTGATTCCTCCCATTTTTTTATATGGACCAGAAGGTAGCCCCTAGATTGGAAGTGCTCTGACACCAAATTGATGGAACCCAATTTTATTCATTGTAAATTGATGAAAACATAAATGGAGGCAAGCTCCTTACAAGACTAAATGTAGAAAAATAATCCCAAAAGACTTTAACTCCCCCTTAGAACAAACTACCATAGGCTCTAAGAGATCCTCATATTTCCCACTCTTTACTCAATACATGCCTACCTCATTATACATACTCACTCTCCTTTTATTCCCACCTAATAAGAATATTCTAGAAAATTCCCCTAACTAACTAACTCACTTTTCAGGCCCATCAATACTAAAATATCCAAGCCCATTAGTTAGGAATTAGTTATATATAGATGCTTAGGGTGTGGTTTCTGAGGCTATGAATTGAGTATTGGTTTAGTGGGAAAATTGAAGATCTCTTAGGAACTCTTAAAGCCTAGGTATATTGACTTTGAAGGGAAGTTGAGATCTTTTGGGTTTATTTTCTGTCATTTATGTTTTTCATCAATTTATAGTCAAATTTAATGTATTTTTTGGATTCCATCAATTTAGTATCAGAGCACTTTCAATCTAGGGGGTGCTTTCTAGTCCAGATCTGGAAAAAAATGGAATACAGATTGTCGAATGTCAAGAGGAGTTTTGATCGTTTGGAAGAAATAAGGGATAGAGTTGAGGACGCATTCCATCAGCTATGAGAAACTATTCTGGAGTTCCTTAACTGTGTAGATAGAAATGGATCTAATCCACGAGAAAAAGAGAAAAATAGGACAGTAGAGCTCAAGGTTTTGAGAGAGAAAATCAAGGTACAAATTTGTCCTCACACGTTCGCTACACCAAGAATTAAAGAAACAGAAAAAAAAAAACAGAACAAGAGAAAGAAAAATGCATAGAAGACGAAGGAGAAGGAGACGAAAACGAAAAAGAGAAAAAAGCATAAGAAGAAACAAAAGCATAAACCGGAACAAAGGGGGAGGAATAGAAAAAGAAGCGCACGAAGAAGACAAAATAGTGGTTGAAGTAGAAGAACAGCAAATGGGGAAGCCTGCGATTCAAATCCCAACCCAAAGATGGAGGAAATTGAGGGAGACGAAGAAGATGGCGATGAAAATCAGGTACTTGAGCTATCAAACTCGAACCTCCACAAAGAAGAGAATGGGTCATTGCAAGTCTGCCATGGAAAAAAGCAACAACAAGGACATCACATGGAGCAATGGGTAGAAGAAAGAGAAATGGTTTGGGAAGAATGGGCTGAAATAGGTATGGAATAATTGGTGGATATAGTCATTGTTCTCATGTAGCCCTACCCAATAAGAGTCTAAATTCTATTAATCAGTTAAGTGGGCCTGGAGTAAAGGGGGGCCCAACTCAAAATATTCTCCCACATGGACCAAATATGGTAAGGGCCCAAACTCATAATAAAACTCATCCAAACATATCTCACATTAATGGGACAGCCTTGACTCATAATCGGGCCAACAATGGGAATGGGAAAATAGGCCCTTCGGTTAGTGAAGACTATGGCCATTTATATGACTCATGAATTATCAATGTGGTCAAGATGCTTCAAATAATAGGACCCGAGTGGAAGCTTCCCTCACATTATTTGTCCTCTCTCTTCACCTTGAGTACAATATGAGTTTTGAAGGAGGAGTATTGAGGGGCCTTTAATAAAATATTCAAGTCCATTAAACCCCTAGATCGGAAGCGCTCTGATACCAAATTGATAGAACCTGATTTTATTCACGATAAATTGATGAAAATATATATGGAGGCAAGCTCCTTACAAGACTAAATGCAAAATAATAAACTCAAAAAATCTCAACTCCCTCTTAGAACCAACTACCCTAGGCTCCAAGAGTTCCCAAGAGATCCTCAAATTCCCCACTCTTCACTCAATACATGCCTACCTCAACATACACACTCACTCTTCTTTCATTCCTTCCTCTAACATTATTCTAGAAAATTTCCCTAAATAACTAACTCACTTTTCACGTCCATCATATACTAAGGAATATGAAACATATTTGAACTGCAATTCAGAAGCATACTTTGGATTGGAGCCCTATTAAATGAAAATAATACTTATTTGATTCAATTTGGCGCGTTAAATCCTTATTTTGTTCCCTGGCATAAGGAACAATTATTACTTGTGATTCATAGTGTTTTCAAGCATCTTAACGATAGATTGGACTTCTATATCACTGCATTTCATGTATTATGTAAAGAACCACTTCAACCGAAAAGCTTAAACTATTAGGTGAGGCTACATTAATGGATTTATATATCTCAACACGCCCCCTGACATGAGAGCTCACTGGGCTTGAAGGGTGAATAATGCACAGGCCCACCTACCTGTGCGAATAAAGAAATTCTACTTGAAAGAAAATGAGAGGCGACGAGGATCAAACCCGAGACACGAGGCTCTGATACCATGTAAGAACCACTTCAACCCAAAAGCTTAAGCTATTGGGTGAAACTACATTAATGATTTTATATATCTCAACAGTTTACTAGTAGTAATTTTAGGTAATGTAAAGGGGTTGTGACATGTGAGACAAATCATATTAAATCAATTCGATCATGAATAGGAACTCAACAATATTACATATAATTACATTTTTTTTAACCAATTTGTTCAGAGAACTAAACTAATTTATTTGTGTCGCATAACAGGCAGAGCACATGGTAAGAGAAGAACTATCAGCAAATTAGTTAAAGCGACAAATCCACCATAATAAGTGAATTCAGACACCACACTTCAATCCAGAATTTAAGATATGATATTTAGGAGTCCTTTCACCTCATCAATTCTGTTGAATTTAACATAAAAAAACCAAATGAAACCATGTCCACTCCTAGTTATAACAACACCACTGAAACAAAAAATTCTTGACATAGCAAGCACACTGGAAACAAAAATGCCCAGTAAGATAGGAAAGAACTATTTAGTGACATAAAGAGAAAATGAAAATCATAAAATTTAATTTGATTTCTGCAAGTTGGATACAAAACTTGATGCAGCAAAACCAGCAGAACCACCAAGCACACAGAGCAATGCAACAACAACCTGCAATGCCACCTCACCAAGGTTGTCCTCAGGCACAAGGTAAACAAACAAAGGTCCCAAAAACAATAAACCAAAGCTGAGGGTAAAGAGTGTTCCCGGAGTTCCTGGATCAGTGGCTGCAGATAACACACCCAATTCTTCTGCTTTTGAGAGGAGTCCCAGTTTCTCTATTGTTGAAAGGGACAACCCAGACTTCTCTGCTGCAGATAGCAACCCTGCTTTCTCTGCTTTGCTCAACAGTTTCAGCTGCTCCATTCTTGTCAGAAGTTTTATGGGAGGTGTTGTTGTTCCAGAACTGTTCCTTGGCCCTTGTTCCCCAAGTGGGAATACAGTTGAATTCTGCATTGTGCGAGTGGTTCAGCAATTGTAAGAAAACATTTTGATCCTTGAAAACATGTTTTCAATTATGTCATGCCATTAAAAACTCTTGTTCATATGTTGGAAACTTTCATGAACAAGGACTAGAACATTTTAAGAGCCAATAACCGTTACAATGTCTTTTACTTTTATTTTTTATTTTTTGGGTTGTCAAATATAAACTCCTACCTAATTCAAAAGTCGAAACAGGTAAATTCAGAACAGAGCACTTTCATTATTTTAGGGGTCAAACATTAGACATAGGTGCCACTTTAATGTAAAAATTCAAATATTTTACCAAAATAATGCTGTGTATGGAATATGGGAGTTCAAATTACATATAGGATGCGTAATTGCATAATTTAAATATGCACCCCCCAACGCGGCTCTCACAATAATTAAATTTTGAATTAATACATTAACAAATTTCACTTCTTGCATCGTTATGGTCAAATGGGCAGCAAGTTTAAGATATGAATAAAAAATGTAAAAATAAAAAATAAAAAAACTAGAATATAATTGTGGTGCACTGACCTTTCTAGAGGCTAGAGTCCTAGTAACTGATGGAAGGGACTTCTGGGTAGCCATGGATTTGACAAGCAAAGGTGAGTTTTCTCTTGGAGAGTAATTGAACATGTTACTGCAAATAGATGCCGCGGTCTCCATAACCATAAGCTTCTTTCTCCTTATCTCTTAGCTGAGAACAAGAACAAAAGGGTCTCATAACATTAAGTACTGAGTGGCTGATACATGATGCGGATTGGTTTTCCACTGTTTCCGTGTCCACGTGCCTGAAAATGGTTGGTGATCTGTGCTCCCTCCTACTCCACGGAAAAAGTTTTGGCTTTCAAATTTTATTTTATTTTTAGTAATGATACACTTTAATTAATATTTCTTTGAGTAAATATCATTTTTGTTTCTCAATGAATTTGACGATGGCCGTTTTAGTTCCTAACAAATAAAAATATTATTCGTAGTCTCTAAGAAATTCAAAATAGATCCATTTAGTTGAAATCGTGGTCTCTCACAAATTCAAAAAAGATCTACATTAGTCCCTCAAAATGACTAAAATGGGTCCACTTTGAATTTCGTAGGGATCACAAATAGCTTTTTTATTTGCTAGGACTAAAGCGGACATCGTGAAATTTGCTGAGGATCGAAAATGGTATTTACTCAAAAATTTTAAACACAATTTTTTATTAATTTTAATTTTAAATTTTTTAATATGAGTGTTTAAATAAGATTTATATAAAATGATAGTATGCTTTTTTAGTGCACCACTATTATGAAATTTGTATATACATGTTAGGGCCGTAGAAAAGAAATATGTCTATATCTAGTCATTCAAATTTATTTATTTTTTATATTATCAAATGCATGGATCAATTGACGATAAGTAATCTAGAATTTGAATCTTGAATATACAATTGTGTTAATCCTAAAGACAAGAGTGGATGAGCATTGACATTAATCAATATTGTTAATTTAATTTGCATCTAACAGTTCAAGATTGATAAATAGTAATTGTTAGATAAAAATAAAATCAATAATTAATAATAAATATAAAGTCTACACCAATATAAATTGGTCTTTGTCCTATATTCTTCTATGTTAAATGGGCCCTAAAAAAATATTTAGCCATATCATTTCACCGGGCTTTATTTAAAGGAAGCGATGGGCGGAAAAGAAGCAATTCTAAATGTTGATAAAGGAAAGGAACTGAATATTGTGGAGCTCTTCTATTGCGTGCGACTTGGTTATCATTTAAGAAATAAATTTGCTATACATATTGTGTGACAAATTTAAACCATAAATAACTTTGGAACAGGACAATAAATGAAAAACCTGCTACATATGTAAATCACATGATACGAAGTAAACCGGTACAGTCAAATTATATGTGGCCTTTACTCCTTTAGGCGTACACTAACATTTGGGCTATCAAGATAGAGCTATAAAAAGGCATAGGATTAATTGGGCTTTATCCAAGACTTTCTCCATGAGTTCAAGTTACCCGCTCCATTGATCAATATTAATTAGGGTTAAGTTCAAAAATCCTCTATAATTTTTGTTGGATCACTTATTTCCTTCCATATGCTTTTTTTATCATTTATCTCTCTTCGCCTTTTTTTCATCAAATCCCACCTCTAGCATCATTAAAATTTTGACAAATATGTCTTTTCTGCCCCATGAGAAATAAAAAATTATAGGGAAAAGTAAGTGATTAAAAGTAGAAATACATAAGGATGAGTGATTAAAAAGTTAAAAAAAAAATAGAGGGGTAAATAATTAAAAAAATGCATGTTTACCAAAAAAATGCACAAGGGATAAATGAGTATAGAGGACAACTACAATATTGCTCAACATACTATATTATTTTACATTACATAAACACTTGCTAAACATAACAAAAATGTAAAGAAAATAAGGCTAATGCAAGAGCACAAGAGAAGGGTGAATTGTGTAGTAACTTGTTTCGCAAGAAATCAATAAAAAATAACCCCTTTTACAAGAAATCAACCCAAAACAAAATTAATCAGAAATCAAACCTTCCTTTATGTAAAAACTGAATTAAAACATATCGGATGAAGGGAAAGGAAGAATCACGTCAAGATTATGCAGCGGTATTAAAAAAGATGAAGGGAAAGGAAGAATCACGTCAAGATTCATCTTGGTTCACTCTCTAACCTCTTGAGAGATACGTCCAGACTAAGGTTGTCGTTTTCACTATGTTCTAGTTTACAACCGGTGCCAGAAAAATTATTTTACAAAGAGTTTTTACAAGAACTATGTTCAAACCTTTGATCACTCTCAATCTATCACCTATAAGGTCTCTCCAATCTCTCCTTGTTCAACGTAAAAAGGAAGATTTGAAAAAGATTGAAAGATGAAAAAGATATTGAGATTTTCCTCTAGGAAGTCAAAATATAGCCAAATTAGTGTTAATTATCTCAAATTCTTAGTTCTGATGTGTTTCTTTGTTAATCCTTTATTGTGAACCCTCATTGGTCGTTTAAATAGGTGTAAAAAAGATTAGATAGCTGTTTAAAGCTGTTACACCACTAATTTTAAAATAACTCACCTAACCAGTGCAATATCTGGATATTTAGCGGGCACATATCCAGATATTCTGGATTTTAATATCCGGATATCCCATATCCGAATATTCAAATATCATATCTGGATATTTGAACACACCAATCCAGATTTTGATCCAATTGATGTCTAAATAATTTTTACTCGCTTCTTACACATGTATGAATGCTTCTAACATTGATCTAACAGTGTTCCATGTGTGTGAGTCATGTATGTACGGATCATGTATGTAGGGTTCATTTAATGCATGAGTTTAAGGCTTCTATGATGCATCCATGAGATATAGCTGAATAAACTCAACCTCTAAACTTTATAGACTCTAAAATGACTTTATAAACTGAATAAGCTTGAGTTTTCAGAAATCTTCTTTGGTCTTCATGTTTTGAGTCTTCTAGTTCATTTCAACACTTGAAACTTTGACTTTAGAGTTGACTTTGCACTTTGAAGTTATTTCTCCTCTTTTGCATGTTGTCTTAGCCTTATAGCTTCACTTGGAACTTGTTGCAATGCCTTTCATGTCATGCAAGCTTGTTGAGCTAGTTAGTGCTTTGTTAATCATCAAAACTATACATCTTGGTCTTGGTAACCTATGGTTCAACAAATAAAGGACTCAAAGGCCAAAGATATATGTGATACATTTCAATATTATTCAATGAATAAAAACTAGGCTTACTCTAGTGTGCAGCAATAAATGGGTCCCGGCCTACATTAAGCGGGACGACAAATTGGCCCGATAGGTTAAGGTTTTTTCAGAAAGTGGGGGTTACGGCAGATTGACCCGATAGTAGGGGTGTTCGCGGTCTAGATTGGATCGGTTTTCGAAGAAAAAATATCTGATCCAATCCCTTCGGTTTGATCATGTTATCATCCATTCGGTTTGGATTTTTTTCAAATCCGATCCGATCTAATCCAATTTTTTTCGGTTTGGATTGGATCGGTTTTTTGAAAATCTTAAAATTTATTTCATGATTATTATGCAAATAACATCTTTTATATAAATTGGCTTTGTAAATTTTTTTTTAAATACAAAATAGTTTTTTTTTTTACAATGAGATATAAAGCTCTACACAGATGAACTTTTGTTGATGAGATGTGACTAGATTTTTTTTTGGATTTAGTTGATGGGTTAATGTGTATTGGGTTTAGAAATTTTCGGGCTATGATTGGGGAAAGGCCCAAGTAGGTAGAGGAGAATTAATATATTAGATTGGTTTGGATTGGATCGATTTTCATCAACCAATCCGAAAACCGATCCAATCCAATTAAAATTTGCGGTTTTTTTCGGTTTTCAATTTTTTTATTTTTGGTTTATTCAATTATCAATTTTTCGGTTCGGTCACCGCGGTTTGATTCGGTTTGGATCGGTTGAACAACACACGTACCCGATAGGTTGAGGTTTCTTTTTTTAAGTTTAATTGGGTAACTTTGATATAAAAAAATCTCACTTTTCTTCTAAAACATCTCACTCAATCTCCCTCTTTAACTCTTTTTCTTGATTTTTTATTATAAGCACGTTGACCCGCCAACCTGTTAACTCGCCATAAAAAAGAATAAGTTGGAAATTTCAACCCACTTTTAAAAGTGGGGCGGGGCATGATGAAATAATAATAATTATAATAATTTGATTATAAACATCATACTAAAATATAAATTCAATTAAAAATTATTACAAATAATATAATAACTCAAATAATCAAATTACATTACCAAGGAATTAAAGTGTAATTAGAGGGTTAATTGAGCGAAAATCCTAAATTTAGGGTTAAATCCCCACCTGGGGTAAAATGGCAATTTGACAAAAATGTCTGGTATTGGGCTAGTTTTGTGAAAGACACTCCACCTAAGCCCATAAAACTGGGGAACCAAATTTGAATGAGGACAATTTGATGAGAAATCTAATTATAAGCATAAAATTACTTTTTAGGACAAAAGTACGATTAATGAAAATTTCAGGCAAAAATGCAAATGTGCGAAAGTTATCGAAAACTTTAAAATATTATAGTGAAATACTAATATATAATTTTGGTGAATGTTAAAACAAATGTTAGATGACTTAAATCATGGATTAATGGAAAATTAGATGGGTTCGTTAAGGATAAAATGGTTAATTCTCACTCAGAATCACTTAAAGTACAACGCCACCTCACTTTCCCTCTCATTTTCTTTCACTCATTTTTGACAGCACCCTCTCCTAACCAGCAATTGAAACAAACCCCCTCCTCTCCATTTTTTAAATTTTCGAAGCTCACAACTCCTTGAACACTCATTCAATGTTGAAACCTTATTAGATAAAAGTTATTCATTTGACCTATTCTAAGTGAACCCAACCATCTTTAGTACTTGGGAAGTATTGTGGGTGAAGGAATTCTCTCCCCTCTCCTAGTGCCATTTTGGAGATTCCATGGGTGGAGGAGGTTTTGCTTTCTTCCAAGCTTAGGAAAGCTTACCATTGGTCTTTCTAAGCAATTTTGGGGTAAGAAAATCAAGTTTCCATGGATGTTTTGGTGATTTAAATCTAGAGTTCATTACATGAATAGTGACCAATATGTGTAATGATGTGTTAGGTACTTTGAAAAAGTATGCTAAGAAGGTGTTTGTGATGATGAAACAACTATAAAAAAATGACT